GTACTAGGAATGGCGGGGGGGGATGGCGGTGGAGGGAAAAGGGTAGTTTGGCTGACGGTTTCTTGCCGTTGGCCAGACCAGGAACGCACAGGAAGAGAAGCAGTAAAGAAGGAAATTGTGGGTGAGGTGGAAGGAGAAGTGAAAGTGGTATAAAAAGCAGGGGGGGGGGATGTCCAAAGCCAGCCTGGTTTCTTTACCCTAGACGAGGAGGATTTGGGGCTTCTCGTTTGTGGGGGAGGAGGGGGTGTGGGCCCAGAGGACGGCAGAAGAAAGCCCACGAGGGAGACCTTTCTCACGGTCTGGCCCCCCCACATCCCCACCTGACCCTCTGCAAGAGGCAACTCATTAAAGGCCCTTCTTGGCTGGGGAGCCTCATTAACAACACTCGGAAAACCGTCGCTTTTCGGATGATCGCTCCAGAAATCTGCCAACCAGCTGGCTCGGAGATCCCGGGGTTTGGAGATGGAGGAATTCCTCCAAGTCCGGCTGACAATGCGGCATGCTTTGCCCTCGAGATTTTTTTCTCACTCGCAGGCAAAATTAAAGCAAATAAGCAAAAATAAAATTAAAATGCATGCGTGGTCCGTTCTAACAGGAGGTTACAAGCCTTCCGGTCTTCCTATAGCTGTGTCAATCTGTTGCTGTAAACAGGAAGAGTCTCCTGGGATCTTAAAGATTAAGATATTGGTCAGGGCACAAGCCTTCGTCGTGGGGTAGAGTCGACTCCCATCGTTCATGGACAGAAAGATGGCCCTGATTTACAGGTGTAGGAGCAGGACACGGAGAGTGAGAGGTCAGAACAAACAGCAATGCAGAATAAAGGCGTTCAAAACAGGCATGCTTGCAAAACCAGGGCCAGTGAGAGCGAGACCTCCGGGCTAAGGGTCACGTCTGACAGCCAGACCTGGGTTTTTCAGCCTGTCTTTCTTCCCTGCCAGGAAAACAATCCGTCCTCCATCTGGTCCCAGTTCGTCATCACAGCAACGGTGAGTGGGAATAAGGCCACTCTCCATGAGGGAGCAGGATGGGCTGTCCGGGGATTATGGGGTTGGTGGTTCATCAGGTCTGGAGAGTCCCCGGTTCAGGAAGGCTGGATTAAACACCACGAGAGAGGGCCAAAGTCCACAGCATCATCAGGGAGAGCGAGCGAGCGTTCTTTTGATCTGAAATATCTAGTTTCTCGTTTTGTCCTCTCTCCTCCACCCAGTGAGAAACACCTAGATTGTCCCTTTCCTCACCCGAGGCTGGGAGAAACAGGGAAGCCCCTTCAGGTATTTCCCAACCATTCAAAAAGGCTTCTTCAGAACTTATTTCCCCTAGTGTTCTGGCGGGATAGCTCAGTGGATGAGAGATCCAGAGGTTCGGAGTTCGAATCCCGTGCTGTGCCTCCTGGGAGAAGAGCCAGCCTGGGTAGCCTTGGGCCAGCTGCACCGTCGTCCCAGGGCGCCCCCGGAAGAAGGGAAGGACTGAATATTCTCTATTCGGGAGTGAGAAAATTTGCACCACCCTCTGTCCGATCTGCTTTGATTTGGATTCCTGCCTTGAGCAGGGGGGTGGACTGGATGGCCTTCCGGGACCCTCCCAATGCCTTGATTCTATCATTCTACCTGGAAAACCCTGAAAATAGGGTCGCCCTCAGTCAGAACTGACTTGACGGCTCATGGTTTTTCACTAACGGTAGTATGGTAGAGCGGATAGAGTATGGAACTGTAGTCTTTGAAGAAGGGTGACCTTGAGCGACAGAGCAGCTTTGCAGATAAAAGTGGGAAGAGCAGATTCATGCATGCTGGCTTCCCGGAGAAGGGTGTACAGTGAACAAAAATAGTCAGCACCACAAAATCCGCCCAAAGGCTTGGGCACGTTTTAAATAGGCCTTCCATCTCCTTTTCTGAACTACCATCATCTCATGCCCACCTCATTAACATTTTAAAGTTGTTCTTAATTTTACCTACATTTCATATACCTCCATAATTCTGAACTGTGCAATGCTGTGATAAGACAGACAGACAGACAGACAGACAGACAGACAGACAGACCGACCATCTTCTTGGGTGGGTGGGGGGAGCCAGACTAATGTTAAAATAAAAAGATAACTAATTTTCCTGTAGGAAAACACAACCACATGAATTGAAGGCGATTATAAATATGATCTGTCCACAACACCAACGTTAAAAAAAAAACATCCTTTTAAGCTACTCAAATATGAAGTGGCAAGCTGGTAGAAAGACTTTCCCGTCTTTGCTTCCCACTGAGCCAAAAAAACTTGTCTAAACGAAGGTTTCGCTGATGATGCAAACAACATTCCAGGTTGCCGATGCGTTTTAGAGAACAACTCCACGTTGGCGATGGAATTCTAGTCTCTGCAGACCAAAAAAAGAGGGAGGGAATGTTTTCCTCCCCTCCACCCCCCAAAAAATCTCCCAGGCTTATTATGCCCAACGTTAGATGGGATCCGCCACCCGCTGATGCTTTCCTAGGGTTACCCATGGTGCAAAGAAGCAATTCAAGGGTTGCGCGTGATCCCTTTATGTGTGTCTCTCAAGGGGGCTGCCCATCTGTTGCCCTTTTCCAGCCTGGCATCCTCCAGGTGATCATGCCTATCTTCCGAGAAGCTGCAAATTGAAATATATATATACTGTATATTAATTTTTCCACGTATTTTAAAGGAAGGAGGGGAAAAAAATTAAGCTGATTTGTGTAAGGCCATAGGTTGGTTCCCAGTGGAATGATGTCTTTTTTTCCCCCTGCCCTCTCCAGATGAGGGGGATTCCACGGAGATCTGGTGGGAACCTTTCCTGCATCAAGGTGGAGCGTTGGTGCCGAGCGGCCAGGAGGTCTTGGTGAAGCACACGGGGCTTTACTTCATTTACAGCCAGGTACGTCGCAGGAAGAAGGGTGCCCACCGGGTCCCTCGCTTAGCGATCCGGTGGGTCCAGCTAGAGCTGAACTGGGCTCAGCGCTCGCCACAACCCACAACCTTGCTCTTAAAATAGGGCAGAACTCGGGAGCGCTCGTTTTGGGACTAGAGATTGCAGAACAGCCCGCAGGGGGTAGAGGTGGAGACGTTTGGCCCCACCCGCCTGCCTGGTCTCCCTCCAGGCTGCCAGTCCATGGATGAGGTCCCATCGCTCCTCAAGGAACGATGGGACCTCAGCCTCAAGAGAGGCCTTTCCAGAATATGGCCAAACCGCCCGAAAAACCTACAACAACCAGAGGCCCTTCTCTCAGTCCCGCCACCTTCAAAGGTGCATCTTATGGGGACACAGGAGAGAGGGCCTTCTCTGTGGCTGCTCCTTTAGACTCTGGAACTCCCTGCCACTGGAGGCCAGGCTGTCTCCCTCTTTGCTGTCCTTCCGCAAGCA